TGTTAAAAAATTGAAACATAAATTACATAAGTTTTAAAAAAAGTATCGATCCTTTTTATAAAAAGTATGGACACTTTCAATATAATAGGTAAACATATGATGTAATAGGTAGCCCTTATATAATGTAATAGGTATCGTTTATATAATGTAATAGGTAGTGGTTATATTGTAAAGTTTCTATCCTTTTTATAAAAGTGTCCATACTTTTTTCACTGTGGAAAACATTAATTTAATATTAATTTTTGAGTGAGTTTTAAGATATTAATTTAGTAATTATAAGCGTCTAATGATTTATTTTTTACGTTACGGTATATATTATTATTAAATTAAAAATTCTAAATAATATTTTATAAAATATAAAAACAATCAAATAATTTTTTCTGCAAATGAAATTATTAAATCAATATTGTAGGTGGAAAACATGAAACACTGTTAAAAAAATTGAAACATAAATTACATAAGTTTTAAAAAAAGTATCGATCCTTTTTATAAAAAGTATGGACACTTTCAATATAATAGGTAAACATATGATGTAATAGGTAGCCCTTATATAATGTAATAGGTATCGTTTATATAATGTAATAGGTAGTGGTTATATTGTAAAGTTTCTATCCTTTTTATAAAAGTGTCCATACTTTTTTCACTGTGGAAAACATTAATTTAATATTAATTTTTGAGTGAGTTTTAAGATATTAATTTAGTAATTATAGGCGTCTAATGATTTATTTTTTACGTTACGGTATATATTATTATTAAATTAAAAATTCTAAATAATATTTTATAAAATATAAAAACAATCAAATAATTTTTTCTGCAAATGAAATTATTAAATCAATATTGTAGGTGGAAAACATGAAACACTGTTAAAAAAATTGAAACATAAATTACATAAGTTTTAAAAAAAGTATCGATCCTTTTTATAAAAAGTATGGACACTTTCAATATAATAGGTAAACATATGATGTAATAGGTAGCCCTTATATAATGAAATATGTATCGTTTATATAATGTAATAGGTAGTGGTTATATTGTAAAGTGTCTATCCTTTTATAAAAGTGTCCATACTTTTTTCAATGTGGAAAACATTAATTTAAGGTTATCTTTTGAGTGAGTTTTAAGATATTAATTTAGTAATTATAGGCGTCTAATGATTTATTTTTTACGTTACGGTATATATTATTATTAAATTAAAATTCTAAATAATATTTTATAAAATATAAAAACAATCAAATAATTTTTTGTGCAAATGAAATTATTAAATCAATATTGTAGGTGGAAAACATGAAACAATGTTAAAAAATTGAAACATAAATTACATAAGTTTTAAAAAAAGTATCGATCCTTTTTATAAAAAGTATGGACACTTTCAATATAATAGGTAAACATATGATGTAATAGGTAGCCCTTATATAATGTAATAGGTATCGTTTATATAATGTAATAGGTAGTGGTTATATTGTAAAGTGTCTATCCTTTTTATAAAAGTGTCCATACTTTTTTAACTGTGGAAAACATTAATTTAAGGTTATCTTTTGAGTGAGTTTTAAGATATTAATTTAGTAATTATAGGCGTCTAATGATTTATTTTTTACGTTGCGATATATATTATTATTAAATTAAAAATTCTAAATATTATTTTATAAAATATCAAAACAATTAAATAATTTTTTGTGTAAATGAAATTATTAAATTAAATAATTCAAATTGAAAATTAAACAACAAATCAATTAAACATTGTTGTGGGTACATTAATTGAACATTGTTATGGGTACATTATTTGGATTAATTTCGTTGAGATGGGTTATGTATAACAAAACAATCTATCTCGCATGTGAGCACTTTATTCCAACCATGTGACAAGTGTGACAACTCCATCAACTCACAACTCAGCTTTGAACTCAATCAATATTGTCTTTTAGCTTGATGGTTCATAAAGCATGTTACTTGAACAGTATGAATCAATTATGCAATTTTCATGTTCAATTTAACACTGCATTTCAAATTCATTTCATATGTAATTGGAGTTTGAATTTAAATTTCAATTTGAGTTTGAATTTCAATATATATTTCGGCTCCACTATAAATATTAGCCCAAGCCAATATGCATGTTATCATTGATTATTCCTAATTTCCATTGTTTTTTTTCCAACGTATAAACGCGAGGGAAATCCCGACCATTTTATTTTTTGGTCAACTTTAAAGCGTCAGAAACGTTTCGGGCATATGATCTGGGTGGTATACAAGAAATGTAACAAATAGCAACTAAAATCATAAGTTGAGTACCACCCAAATCATAAGTCTGAAATACTTCCGATGCTCATCAAAATCCAAAACTCATATGGTGCCAAGCAAAAGGAAATCAAAATCCAAATCTCATATGATGCCAAGCAAAAAGAAATCAAAATCTACAACTTGAGTTTGAACATTGATATGATATGTTCAGTTGTTATCATGTTGGGATTTTCTCGTTTTTGATTGCTTGGATAGTTGTTCTCTTGCTTCTTCAAGTGTTCTTAAGATATTAATTTTTGAGTGAGTTTTAAGATATTAATTTAGTAATTATAGGCGTCTAATGATTTATTTTTTCTGCAAATGAAATTATTAAATCAATATTGTAGGTGGAAAACATGAAACACTGTTAAAAAAATTGAAACATAAATTACATAAGTTTTAAAAAAAGTATCGATCCTTTTTATAAAAAGTATGAACACTTTCAATATAATAGGTAAACATATGATGTAATAGGTAGCCCTTATATAATGTAATAGGTATCGTTTATATAATGTAATAGGTAGTGGTTATATTGTAAAGTGTCTATCCTTTTTATAAAAGTGTCCATACTTTTTTCACTGTGGAAAACATTAATTTAAGGTTATCTTTTGAGTGAGTTTTAAGATATTAATTTAGTAATTATAGGCGTCTAATGATTTATTTTTTACGTTGCGATATATATTATTATTAAATTAAAAATTCTAAATATTATTTTATAAAATATCAAAATAATCAAATAATTTTTTGTGCAAATGAAATTATTAAATTAATATTGTAGGTGCATTCACATGAAACACTGTTAAAGTATCGATCCTTTTTATAAAAAGTATGGACACTTTCAATATAATATAATGTAATAGGTAAATTTGCAATGCTATCGGTATAAATATACCGGTTTACTTATAAAATAGGTAAATATAAGCGCTATCTATTACATTATATAAGCGCTACCTAGTATGTTATTGTACTTTATAATATTTCCGGTTAAATAATATAACATAACCGGTCTAAATTTTAACCGGTCACTTGTTTAACCGGTCACGCCGTATATTAGCCGTTTTTTAGGCGCCGCACCGCAGAACCACCCGTACATAACACATTACTTTCAATAATGTCTCTCAATTTGGTTGCAGCCAAAACAAGAAAAATAACATCATACCGAAGTAGATACGTCGGTGGTAGCTCAGCTCTCAGTTTGCTCCCTCAGCCTCCTAATAGTACTCCTCACCGTAACAGCACTGGCGGTGCTGTAAAATAACAAGCCAAGTACATTGTTAATTACATGGACAGAGAAATAAATGATATTGAAATGAGAAGAGGTATGTATGCATACTGTAGATATACTTACTTCATAGTATAAGCACCACCAGCTTTAACTTTCCCGCAATCCTTGCAGCCCCAGATTCCGACGGCCTTTCTCTTCACTGCATACTGTAGCAGCAGAGATTGTTGGAACAAATAGATGCAAATAATATATATAAACAAGCATACAGAAAGACAAGCAAAGACATGAACCTAAGCATTGCTACTCGGAAATAGGATCATGCAGATAACCGAAGCGTCGTACCTTTCCACAGAACTCACAGAAGTACTTGCTGTGTTGACTGACCTCCATCTTCTTTATTTGCTTCCTCAAACTGGCACCATAACGAGTACCTTCATTATGAGGCAAAAACATACCAAGGAGTCAGAAGTGGAACTTCAGTAATCAAAACGCTAGAATAAAATTCTATTCAGAATCATTTCTTGTGCAAAGCTGCAATGGTGAAAAACTTCAAGGAGTTTAGACAGAAATCAGAAAGCTAACAATGTCCAACGTTCAAATGGTTATCGAATACCGATCTTTCATACAGTTTTGAATCATTCCATGGGCAAATTTTGTTTAAGAAAAATACTACAAAGCAACACTTCAAAAATCAATGAAGCACCTACCATATTTTCCAACAATTCCGGCCTTCTTTGTTCTCTTCGTCTGCACCGAAAACAAAAGCAAGAGTTAATGAATCACACTGAGAAACATCATGAACAAATCAATGAATCATACCCAGGAGAGGTCTATTTATTACTCTAGCATTTTAGCTTTTGGATTTTAATTCAACATAAATGAAGAAATTAGTAGCTACAGATCAGGAATAAGCAACAAAAATTGACACCAAGGCGAATTTATGAATAACCCATCAACTTTTTAACCTCGAAATTGTAATATGATTGTCAATCTCCCAATCTCAGTTCCTTTTGCTTCAACATTTCTATAAAACAATTGATATTTAGCTATACAATAGAATTATATCTTATTTCAAAGCAATAGAATGAAAGAATGTCTTGCTTCAACGTTGCTGTTACACAATTGAACGATTTTGAGGATAACATTTTCTCGGAAAACAAACACGCAAATAAATTATTGAAAAAACATATATGCTTTCAAATCGGGAAAGAAGAGAATACCATTGCGGTAGTGTTGGGAGGATCTGTGTCTGTCTGGTTCGGAAGGTGAGGAGCGGTTCTTCGAGAGGAAGCAACAACGAGGAGTTAGGGTTTTCTGGTTCGGGATTTATAGAAACTTGAAAAGACTGGGTCAAGTTAATCGGTTATTGATCCAAACCAACCTACAACAAATTAACAAATCATGGGCCATGAGAACTTTCGTAAGCCCAGTTATGGCAGTGGCCATAAAATCATAAAACCCAATCGGCGACCTACTTCACTTTCTTTCACGCTTTAGTTACCGGGAAAAAACATGGAAAAATCGTTCACTCTCATTCACATGGTTGCCACCGCCGTTTCTTGCTGGTAACTATTAGCTCCACCACTTTTTTTTCACTTGCTGTAGAATCTCCATCTTTCAAAGTTTGATTTTATTCCCTTTTTTTGTTTTCAAAATCAATGATTCAGGTACGGATTCATGTTCGGCAGAGAATCAGCTCGTAAAGAACTTGGAGACTTGATCGAAAGTCTTCGCCGTGATAATTCAAACTCCTCTTCTTCGTCATCTCCTCCGCACTCTTGATCGGTACTTTTTTTTCCTTCTAGTTCTCTGATTTTGAGGATTTCTTTCAAATGTGATATAATCAGTTATCAGAATAAGTAAATTTCCAATTTTGAGTGATGAAATAGACAAATTAATGGACAACTTATTATTTCTCTGTTAATTCTTATTTGTAAACAGGTCTTTGGTTTGAGGAAAATTGGATACTTTCCTAGGAATTTACAGTGTCTGCTTCTCATGATAAAAAGAATCCTTATTTCTCAGAGTATCAGATTGCCATGGTTTTAACTGCTTTAGCAATGGCGATAGAGATTTATAAGACAATGTTGGTTGTCACTCTTTGTGTTGCTTCTTATTAAGAGAGAAGGCATTAAAAGGTCCCAATGCTAAGAATTACGAAGGCACCCTATTAAGAAGGGTTAGGTTAGTACCTAGGAAAAGTCGGGATGACCTATTTAGCAAAATCGAGAGAGAATCGAGTTTTGAGTAAACTGGCCAGTTTTTCCCCAGTTTATGGCGTTATGTCTAAGATTGAAGGGAAATGCCATGAAGGTAGGAGCTATTATAACTTCTGCTTCTATTAAAACAGATGTTACTTGGACTCGGGTATGTGTCCGATATCGGTCCAATTTTATCTGTGTGCTTTTCCATGTTTTCAGAGAGTCATATCTTCTTACTGATGTCTGAAAGTGGATCTGTTACTTAAAAAAAGCGAAGAGTTGGAGAATATATGTAAAAAACCAACTACATCTTTCAGTTCCGGATTATGACGCATATATTATTACTTTTATATATTAACTGCTTAAAATAGTCCTTTAGCACTTTGGTACTTTGTTCTAGCTATTAAATGTTAATGGGGAACTTCTGGTTTCATTTCCTTTTTGCAACAATGTGCATAAGGTGGTTTGATTGGCTTCTTTAACTTTGAAATTTGCTGTCCTGCTCCTGTCTCAGTTGAATCTCCAACTTACTGCATCTTTTATCTAGCAATTGCTGGATGTCTTTGATAGTGAAGTTGAACTCCAAGAGTTGTTAGTGGCATTACTTTTTAATTTGGATGCATCGATTTAAACCGAATATCTAGATGATTTTCTTAACAACAAACTTTGTTCTGGATTATGGCAAATTCAGCTATATTGAATCCTCGGGGCCAAGGAGCTGTGACTGAACAACTTTTCTCAAGGCTTGGGACTTGGCACAACTTTAAGGAGGTATATCAGAAACGGGGTTCAGAATGCTCCTCGGAGACCTCTCCGACTGTATTTCATGTCTTGTGGGTTCTCTCTAGACAATTTTTGTAATGTTTTGATATATTTGGTTCATTTTATCAAACCTTTCTACTATGGGTGACAATTTCTAACAAAGCAATTGTTGTGCATATGGACTAAATTATTTACTGTTGTATGTGGACTGTGTGTACTAGAGCAGTCTCTTCTTTTCTCCACATTCTCATCTCTGATAAACCCAATATAAATGTTTGTCCCTTGGGAATCAGACTCCGAAATTTTCCGACCTCCTTCGGACATGTTTTTCACAAACTCAACAAAATGATGCCGGTTATCGCCTTCAAACAACCTTTTGTTCATTCTTAAATTTGTAAATGCACTCAATCCATTGCCAGAATCTAATCTACTTGTTGCCAAAACCTGTGCATATCAGCATCATGCCTCTCCAGAGCATTTCTCTGGCAAGTTCTACTTCGGCAGTCATTGTTGCCATCTTTACTTTCTGAACTAATCCTTGGGGTGAACAACTTCCATGCTCAGGTGAGAATCATGTTGATGAAAGAGTTCATCGCTTCATTTGCCCTTGTTTCAATAGGCACAATAGATTTCCATTATGTTTTGGGCCCCTAATTCAAATCCATGGGAATCCAGACATAGCATTTGGACTACATTCATAGTCCTAAATATTCTCCCTATCTGTGCCTTCCACAAGCTTTGGACCTCACAAAAGGATAAGCCTAAGCCTAAACCTAAACCTAAACCTAATGGTTCACCAAATTGAATTTGCATTTAAGAGAACTAAATACTGTAATTTTGTAGTAGATGGCGAGATAAAACGATTTTTTTCTTCAAAATATAAAATATATATTAAAAGTGCTTATACCAAACAATGGAGAATTGATGATGATGATGATGATTATGATGAAAGACTTAAACTTGCAAAATAGCCATTGTTTCCCTAGTGGGAGCTGGCCTACTTGTCGCACTGGCAAGGACCCTGTACGAGCCACAATCGCCTGCCTTTTATCACCATGGAGAAGAAAAAACCTACCTTTTTCCACCTAAAATTCCGACTTTACCTTTCTCTGGACTTGACAAAGAAACCTAAAGCCTAAATGAATTGACTAAGAAAGTTGAAATAACAAAATAAAGCTTTAATTGTGGGGAAAACAACAACAAAAGAACACAGCTTTTCCAGGAAGTTCCATTCATGTTCATTCCTCTTTCAACAAAAGAAAATTAGTACAAAAATAGCCCATGAAGAGGCCATAAGAACTTTCTTCAAACTGATTCATTGGCATTTGTTTAACAATAAGGGGATTAAACAAAAATCAAATTACACCAAAAAAGGAGAGCCATATCATGGGGTAGATCTAAAAGACTATCTCACAATCACAGTTAAATCTCAGCATCATCATGTATGTTTGTGATTCAAAAAACCCCAGGAAAAAAAAAGAAACCCCAAACAAGCTTTCTTGTTCTTCCTCTCTCTCCTTGGCTTTGTTCCTTCATGGATCTCCATGTCCTTCGTTCTTTTGCGTTTTCTTTTCAAGAGTTTATACGAGGGTAGATATATGTTTTTTTTCCTGCTCTTTTTTATTTCCTTTGTGAGATGATTATTTAGGCAGCTGCAACAGTTCCCGGTCGGAACGGGTAGTTCTGAGCTTTTGTCGGAGAAGTTGTAGCTTTCCTTTGATCCTTCTTCCTCAAAGCTTTCATTGAGGATGAAAGGTTATTGCTTTTCTCCTTAGCTTCATCAATGTCTATCTGTTCTTGTCTACACTCTTCACTGCAAAAGGGCATATCCCCTCTGCAACAAAAAAATAACACAAATCAACAACAATTTTAAACCCCAAAAACCCAATATTTGGTTCCAAACTAATGAAAGATTCATCATATCTTTCGAGAAAATTACTCTTTTTTAAAATATAAATATTAACCTGTACATGAAGATGTCTTTGTTACCCCCAAGTGGCTTCTTGCAAAGAAAACAAGCATCCAAGAAATGGGGTTGATTGTAATCTTCAAACCTAGCAGGCCTTGGAGATGAACATGAAGAAGAATATGTTGATAGATTCCTGAAACTAGTTCTCCTTGAGTAACAAAGAAGTCTTTGAAGAAACCCGTGTTGGTTATGGGTTTGGTAATGGGTGCCTGAATACCGAGCCTCCATTACTGCAAGAGAAGCCAAGCCTTGATCTTCTTCGATGAAACAACGTCTCCTTGAACGACCAGATGAGTCCATTTTTCTGAATTTTTTCCTGGGGAAAAAAGGTATGATTTTTTAGGGTTCTTTAAAGGGAAAGAGAGAGGGAAAGACGAGGAAGATGAGCGGGTGAAGAAAAATGGGGTGGGGGTTTGATTTTATAGTGGCCTAGTGGGGGAAAGCTCAAAGCTTTGTTCTATGTTTGAGAAAAATAAACAATTAAATTAAGATTTAATTGCACTCATAGTCCCTAAACTATGACCTTCATTTTAAACATATTCATATATATTTAATATTCAGATTTCATTCCCAAATTATCTCTTATTCTAGACTAGTCTCGATTCTATGCTAATTCTTAAACTTTTGAATATTATATTCAAATTTCATCCTTAAACTTTTAAATGATTATGGGGATATTATTAGAGTGTTCAAAAGTTTAGAAATTAATTTAGAATAAAGGTCATATTTTAAGGATATATTTGAAATATTAAAAAATTTGGAGATTAATTTAAAATGATGATCATAATTTATAGATGAAATCAAAATACTCAAAAGTATAGGAATCGATTTAAAATAAGAATCATAGTTTGGGTATATCTTGAGCAATTAACTCTTAAATAAAAAAATAACTGCAGGTTTTAAAGAATCAGTGCTATTTAATCTATTGGCTCGAAATACCTACATCTGTGTAATCCCAAATAATTTATCGTTCTTCATTGACATCTTTGCCCTTTATTCGGATTTCATATTTTTCTAAAAATCAAGTTGGTTTGGGGTATTTAGTTTATTGCTTTAAAAAATAGTTTTGATACATATTAAATTAAGTTTAATTATTTAATTGAGATAGGATCTTGTTATATAATATAAAATTATTTTAATTTTATACAAATATTACCGTCTAGTCAAATAAGTTTTTTTTAAATGTGATTGTGATTCTAACTTTTAAAAGTAATGTATTAAAATTTTCAATTTTTTTCTTCTATTTATTAAATGGTGAAATATTTGGAAGTCAATGGCAATTTCGAGATTATGGCAAAGAAGTGGGGCGGAAAAAGAAGGAAAGCACAAGTCTCGTTTTCGGGGACTAATAATAATAAATCATTAAAAAAACAACAAAGCCCCACAAATTCCAGTGTCATATTCTAAAGTTTAACAACAGAGGGAAAATCCCACGCTCGTGAATTAGCGCGTTAACATAAAACAACCATCGTATATTTTAGTAGGTCTCTCCAAAAACCCGTACTAGTAGTTGTACTAAAAATGAGCAATTACCATTTTTAAATTTATAATTAAAACATTTAGCAGTTAATAACTACTGTTTCATTTTTTTATTTTGTAAATTCTAATTTTTTAAATCATTATAAACAAAATTCAAACACTTTATTATAGAATATCTCAATGTGATAGTTTTAATAAAATATTGTTAGTTAATATGTAAATATTTTAAATTAAAAGTTTATAAATTTCAATAAAAAAGAATTTAGAACATTTTAATTGAGATAGAAGAAACATTATTTAGTATTAATTATAGTACACCAAATCTATGAATTAACTTGCATAAATGTAATTATTATTATCATTAAATTAGTATAAATATATATATCGTTTGAATATAATTATTAAAGTCAATAAAAAAATTCCTTCAAAAAAATCAAAAAAAATCGTCTTGCTCCACTTTCTGCAAAGTCCGAAAAAAATGTCTTTAATTTCCAAAAGGTACTATTTAATCATTATTTTTCTTTCCCTTTATAAAAATAAAACCATTACAGTAGGATGTATAACCCACGCGCCAAAAATGCAAGTACGACTCATCAGAAACTCCCCTCCCGAAAGAACCCTTCCAAACTCTATTTGGTATTTGAACCCTTTGTTTTTTTTTTCAATAAAAAAGGAGGGGAAATCGAACGGTTAAGATTGCTCCTTTGGCGTTTCACTTTACGTCACTCGCCTTGGCTTTGCTCATTGTTTTGGTCTCTTATTATTCTTTTGTCGTTTTCCTTGCTCTTTAACTTAAACCGGGGCCCCACCTCCTCCCTAAACCATCGACTGAGACCACTCTTTCTGTTGTTTCTAATCATTGATGATGCCATCTCATGCTCCATTTTCATAATCCTACGACTTACACACGTATTTTTTAATAGTATTTATAAAATAATATATATTTAAAAAAATTAATCATAAATAACGTGTTTATATATAAATATAATTGTACGAATTCATGAATCTTAAAAAAATAATCTCTTTAAAATATTGAGGTCACCTTATAAATTTACCGACACACATTAAAATTCATTATAAAAACCTTATTTGAGCCTAGAAATATGGATGGATGGCCTATAATCGATTAATTCTCTTTTTTTTTCATTATGATAATATACTTTCTCTTTCTTTCAAACATTGATTAAAGATTATTCTTTCCTCGATTACTATTCTCTAATTAGATTAAAAGAAATGAATCGTCAATGATCGATAGCTAACTTGTTCCTATCAACAAGATTAAATATTTTAACGATGATTATTAGTGTTGTTGTTGCTTTCAATAACTTACTTGATGGCATAATGTTTCAAACACTAGCTCTATAATATATTGTAAATGGAGAGTCGATCTACAAAATATAGTCCAAGGATTCTTGGATCGAATTTTATCATACCAAATCAATAGGTTAACGTCTAACTCAGATGGTCGTCAATTTTTTAATAGAAAAATACGAATTTGAAACATATAAATAATCAAGTGATTGTTTTATTACTTTTAATAGTTAGATTACTTAACAAAATAGTGTATTATAATTGAGTGACCATTTTATAAATTTTAATTATTTGAAGACTCAATAAAATAGTGTACTATAGTGGAGGGGCCATTTGTGTACTTTAACCAGAATATTACTCATATATTTGAAAATAATAAAATATTATTAAAGAAGAGAAGTAGAAGGGGTATGGATGAATGCGTGACGTGGTTATTACTTTAAAACCTCGGAGCTTTTTCCGAGGTTATTGTTTCCCCAACCAGAGCTGTTGCCGCCGCCCCGAAAATCTAGGTCATCCCACCACTGGCCTTACCTGCCTGTGCTTTCTCTACTCTACACGTGTATCTCAGTGCTTCTCACCACCGCACCACATCCTTTCACGTGGCACCTCATAACACGACAAAAATCTTTCAATATTATTTCAATTTTAAGGGTGCCATGAGCAGCTATCTCCTACGACACGATCTTGTTTTGTTTCATCGAATTGTCGGCTGAGATTGCATTCAGGACCCACCCATTTTAAATGATATATAATTTTTTAATATCTATCAAAATTAAATTTAAATATTTGTCCTGAATTATTGATGAAACAAAGGGCCTCACATGGGACGAATCATGAATCATAAAGTGGAAAAAGATTAGATTCTAATCACAAGAAATTTATTTGTTTGGGGATTGGCGGTTTGGAGAGAGTTCTTGTTAGTATTGGAAATAGCTGTTGGTTCTAGTCCAGGGTCGGACAGATTAAAGTGGTCAGGAACGTCCGATGGTATTTATAATACGAAGGTTTATTGCTCTAGATTGAATTCAGATGGTAAAGTGGTAGATCTTGGTTGGAATCGAGTATGGTGTAAGTATGCTCCACTTAAAGTTTCTGCTTTCGTGTGGAAAGCTATGCATCAAAGAATACCAGTAGTTTCTGAGTTGGTTAAGCGAGGTATTGACTGCAATGCTAACCACCTTTGCATTTTTTGTAATTGCTTTATAGAAGATCAAAGTCATTTGTTGTTTCATTACGATGTTTCGTGGCATGTATGGCAAAGATGGTGCAAGGTATGGGAAGTCAAAATTGCGTTTCCTATAAATATTAATGAACTTATTCAAATCTGGTTTACTCAGAATGTTAGAAGGAAAAATATGTTTTTATGGCGAATCGGGTTCTTTGGGTTGATTTGGAACATATAGCTTAGTAGTAACAAATCTAGATTTGAGGGCAAATCTTTCGCAGTAGATCAGATATATCATGCCGTTCTGTTGCAGATAGGAATTTGGATTCATCATCTGTGGCCAGTGAAGTTTCCTTACGTCCAGGATTTTGTTCGATGCCCAGGGTCCTTTATATTCGTTTAATGGCTGTGAAGAGATGGTCCAAAATGGCGTTACTGGTATCAATGGTGTGAATGTTGAGGCACCACAACTGCACTCTGTGATAGAAAATTTGTATGGAATTCAGTTTTGCGTTAACATCCCTCCTCCATGGCGTATGTAAAATCCATCTCGTTTCTATGCAGACTCTAGTTTAGGTGTCATCTTTCACTAAATTAGATAGCTGGCTATGAGGCTGAGGGTGTTTTTGCATCAGGGTTTTTTTTTTAACATGGTGTTTCTGCCTTTGTTTTTAACTCTCGTCTGTGAGATGCTAGAGGAGGTTTTATTATGTTATAGTTTAGGTGATGTATTGATGGGTGCTGGCTTTCTTGCGTTGGGGATTGTTCTGTGTGAGCATGTAGCTTTCGGGTGGATGCGTGGGTGGGGAATTTTCTGCTATGAATTTGCAATTTCTGTTGCTGGTCAATTTAGTTGTAAGCGATGGTATTCTGAGGCTCATTTTTGGCCAATCTGGTTGAGTGGAAGTTGCAGTGGTGTCCGGTTGTTGCTGTAGGGGTTTTCTTTGTGTATTGTACATTTGTTATTTTTTCCCCCATGGTCGGTTGTAAGATTCTGTTATTGTTGACGATTCATGTTTTTGACCTTGTTCACTCCAAAGCGTATTCTTTTTCCTTCAAGTAGGTTTAAGGAGGTTTTTTAACGAGACCTTTGATAATGACATACTTTGTATATTTCGACCCTTAATACAAAGTAAACCCTTTTCAAAAAAAAAAATTCTAATCACAAGTATTTAATTAATTACATCTTAATGACACTGTAATAACTTTTTGCAACATTGATTAGGCCGGTTCATTCCACATTTTGCAAGTATAGTAGCCGATTCATATTAAAAAATTAAATAAAAAATTCAAAAGAATATTTCATATTTTTGTCAGCTTAGTGCTGCAATGCTCCTTTTTTACATTTAAAATATTAAAGTTTTTCTTTTAATTCTTTATGGAATTAAGGTAATATTATTCATGTTCATCTCATGATTTTTTAAGATTTTTTTTTTAGTTTATAGGCACGTAATAATATTCGATTTGAGGTCTGAAATTGATATTGATTCATTTTTGCATTTTGATCCATCAAAATATATTAAAGAGAAAAAAGAAAAACAAAAGAGCATCTTACACTTTTAAATTTATTTATGTTATTCGCCCGTCAAAATAACCAGTTTTTATTCCCATCACAGAAATTTTGTTACATATTGTTCTTTGATTCCTTGAATCTTTAGATTTAGTTGATTGGAAGCAGTGGGCTAACCTAATTCTCGTGAAATTATTGTCTTTCGAATTTGATTCTTTCTCGTTTTGTTGCCAACTATATTCTACTTTCCTCTTCTTATTCAGTAGATATTTTCGGAGTTACTAAAAAACAATTAACGCAGCAGCGATAGAGCGACACGTGATGGAAAATATTGGGTTTGTTGGCTGCTTTACGTGTCGACACGTGGATAATAGCAAATGACTTATGGCGGCTGTAAAAGATCTGGTTCCATTCCTAGCTCAACCCACAAGGCAATCCAGACAGATGCTTTACACGTGGAGCAACCGTTTAGTCCCACGTGTGTTCCCAAAATACCTGCATGTTGTTGTTTAAGGTGACACAGCAATATGGCCGGACAGTTTTTGAGTTGTTTAAATTTGATTCGATTAAAATTTAATTTGAGATGACTCGATTTGAACTCAAGACCTTAAAAATTGAGTCGAGTAAGATCCTACTCGATTCGATAAATTCATGAAAATTTTCTTATTTTTTTTTAATAATTACATTAAAAAATTATTGCATTTTAAAAAATTATTTATTAATTTACTAATAGATAATAAAAAAGATGTTAAATTATAAATTATTACTTAATATAAATTTATTAATTTTCAATAAACAATAATAAAATATTAATTTATTAGATTTTACATATAATTTAAAAATAAAATTCTGATGAATTTAACGAGTAATGAGTCGAGTCAAATAATATATTTTCTTAACGAACAATGAATCGAATGTTAATCTACTTGTGATCGACTCACCCAATAACCATACTTAGGCATCCCTCCAAAGGAATTAATTTGCTGCATTACGTGCTCCTGAGAATTCTGTAGACAATTGGGGAAAATTAATCTAATCACCCGCAATAAGTAACACCACGTAAATTTTTTAAATTATTATATATATATATATATATTATTAATAAATTAATTTTACATCTTATAAAATTTTAAATATATTATTCTTTTTGATATAAAATTCTACATCTATCTCTAAGTACAGGCAACACAAGGAGGCTCACAATATTTACTAATCAAGAAAGAATAATCAAAGAATAGACATGTAATTTTATGTTAAAAGACGTATTTATAACATTTTAAAAAGTGATAAACATATAAAATTTCAAGAGACAAAAATTAACTATAAATAAAGAATAAAAGAAATATCTAAAATATAAAATAAAATTAATTTTAAAAAACGATCGTCCTCATCCTCTCTCTCGATCAATGAATTAATCCCATCAGCATTAATAATACAAGTTATTTAGGCAAACCTTAATGGGCTTTTTGGAATCGAACTATACTTTGCTTCAAGTTAATTAGAGGCCTTTAACCGGGAACTCTTGTTCCTGCAAACTTAGCAGAAAGGGATCAGTGACCAGAGGACAGCAAGTTTCACTGATGCGCAATTACCACTAAGGCTTGCATTAACATCTGCATTTACTACCAAAACCATGGCTGAAACCCTACAACCCTACAAAAATACCATTTTCCTAGGCTTTAAACGTAGGACTTGATTTAAATAATATTTTAATGTGAGGATTAGATCAAAATGTTTCAAATGTAAAGACCCAATTTAAAATTTCACCTAAGCTTTAGGAGCTTTTTGTGCAATTAATCCTGGTTTTTAGGTTTATGATACAAATTGGTACCTAAATTTATCAACTTTTCTTAAATTTGTACCTAAAATTTTCTATCTCAATTTGATACTTCAACTTGACAAATTACTATGCTTCCCATCTCGATGTGTAACAGACTAGACAGTTTGAACAGAAACTTCCATTGGGGAGGCGGGACAGATTACGCGCATAACCATCTAGTAAGTTGGGATACAGTTTGAAAACCGAAATCAGCAGGAGGTCTCGGATTAAGAAAAACAAAAGATATGAATCTTGCGTTGATGGCAAAAAACGGTTGGAGAATGCTAAAGAATTGGGATGCCCTTTAGTGTAGACTTTTCAAAGAGAAATATCTCAAACATGCAAATTTCATGGAAGTAGGCAGCCAAGGCAATTGTTCTTCGACTTGGAGGGGATTCTTCACACTAGAGATATAATCAAGAAAGGATGCAAACACCATATTTGTTCGGGAGAGCAGACAAAATTCTGGGACGATTGGTGGGTGGATGATGTTAGGAAAAATATCCTGAGAGAATCATCAACAATGAGGATAAAGTTGCAAACTTCATTGAGGAAGATCGCTCGAGGAACATCCAAGAACTTCAAAAAGTTGTCTCCAGCGGCACCATAAATCTGATCAAAGCTATACCTCTATCCCTAAGAGATTCTGAATGTGGAGATGATAGGGTACACTGGGGTCTTTCTAAAGATGGCGAATTTTCAGTAAAATCAACCTTCAGAGCTATAGCTAACAAAAGCACAGTTTATGCTCAGAACAAAAAATCTGGAAAGTGAATACAACAGACAAATCAGAAACTTTATCTGGTTATGTTAAACAAGCTGAATACGAATGAGATCCGTTACAGGAAGAATATGACTCGAGACCCAAGTTGTAAAACCTGTCAGGAAACGCCTGAATCTATAGAACACATTCTGAGAAATTGCGGTACAACAAAAAAGGTTTGGGATGAATGAATTGAAAGCGAAATTATACGGTGCTAGATTAACCATAAGAGAGTAAAGATTGGCTAAATTGGAACCGTAAATCAGGGATTATGGACGAAGAAGGGTTAAGTTGGGGAGCTTGCTTCTCCTCAACTATATGGAGTCTCTGGAAAGAAAGGAACGACATAGTCTTCAGGAATAGCAACACAAACCCAAGGCAGATCATACATTACATCAATAATTTATCGAATGATATTTCTAAAGCGGTAAAGCCAGAAACAGAAAGATAACGAGAATTACCAGGGACCCAGATGGGTGAAGTGGAGACGATCACCAAGAGGAAGCTGGATACTCAACTTGCAAAGCGAACTCGGGAATGGCGACGGCTGGCGGTTTGATTAGGGACGAAAAATGGATCCGTGGTTTCTTTATGATCATCGGCAAAACCACGTGTGCGATGGCTGAAATATGGGGAATACGGCAGGGAATGTTTCTAGCAAAAAGCTTGGAGGTGGCAAAACTCATTATCGAGGCCGACGCAAAATGGATCATTGACGCGTTGAATAAAGATGAAATTGATAACAGTCAGATGACAGTTATCGTTAAGGATTGCGTAGAAATGAAGGAAGGTTGGGTTACGGAGATAAGGCATACCTTGAGAGAAGGTAACCGGTGTGTTGACCGTCTGGCAAAAATGGCGCTCGAAAAGAGGAGGGATTGCATCTTCTGGAAGAGCCCCCCCGACGAACTGCAACCTTTCCTCCAAGCTGATTCTCACGGTCTTGAAACCCTGAGATGGTAGATGGTTGGATATGGGATTTATTTGTTTGTTGAGTTCAAAAGAGCTGCTGATGTTGCCTCGCTTTTGTCGCCTGTGGGCAGTGATCAGAATTCGATAGAACTTGGTCGGCCCATGCTCATGGCTGTTTCGGTGTCATCTGATATTTTTCATCATCTTCCAAAAGAATGGTATTAGTTTTTGTCAATTTATTGTGGTTTGAATGTTGGTGTTGTTACTTATTTCTTTATTAGTTTAGTGATGCTTACATTAGTTGAATTAAAAATGTTTTCACGTATCATGTTTTCACGTACATTTTACTTGTTAGTGAACATATGAATTTCAATAGGAATTAAAATGCATATTTGAGTTTAAATGTCCAATTTCCATTCCACTTACAAGTCTATATGAAGTTTCTGCATGTTCTTCTGTGTTTTAACTTTCCAATTTCTGTTTTGTAGGTTTATATACTTATTTATTGGAGTAGGTGTGGTTCTCTTTGTTATATCTTGTTGCGGTTGTATTGGAGCTGCAACGCGGAATTTATGCTGTTTGTACTGTGTATCCTAATTATCTGTTTGATGTTATCGACAGTGGTAATTAGGACATAGATATCATGTAACATCCAAACAATATTGTAATCAAGTAGTTCATAATTTTTTTTTATCCAAGTCATTTTTCTTCTCTGTCACAATGATTGGTTTACTTAAGGCAACCTAGTATTCAGTTGGTGTTTCTGTTGATCTTGGTGGAGCTGGGATGTGCAGCTTTCAGTCTTCGACAAAAGCTGGAAACATGTAACTTTTGCGTACTTTTTTGGTCCTTTCCCCGTCTATTTAATTGAAGTTAGTGTGATTGGCTATCTAACTAGTGCTAATTTCTTTAGGAACTCCCTGCTGATAAAACAGGATACTTTGATATGATATATCATTTTCTGAAAGAAAACTGGAGTATCGCCAGATGGGTAGCTCTTGGTATTATTATCTTAGAGGTAAGCTTAACGTGATTGTGATCCTAATCCTGAGGACTTAAATATTACGGCACATTCATGAACTATTATGTTCGTCCATATGCAAAAACCGAGAAACAATCTGATAGACTGATAGAGTTTAAACAAATGAAGCTGCTTTCTAAGACAAGGATTTCCCCTTCGAATCCTAATCATTTAGTATTGTATTCTTTATTCTCAGCCCTTGTAATTTTGTATTTTTTTTGTAGCGTCATTTACCTTTCGGACATATGGTTGTTTGTGATAACAATGCACATAGTAGTCCAGGGCTTTGATAAGATTTAGCCTTGGATTTCTATCTACTGCAAATAAATCCAGCGTACGGAAAAAGAGATAATCTTATTTAAATTCCATAATCAAGGCTTAAAGTTGAAAACCATTAAATTAACCGTACTAAAGGGAAGTGAGTCTTCTTCAACTATCATTATTTGGGAATGTAGGATGTTCGTTTATCTTCAGTATGGATTACGGTTAAGATGATTGCATATGACATCGTTTTTAGTTCTAGATAACTTTTAGGAGACTTCCATATGTAGAAAACTGTTGGGTTATGGTTGACTGAGGTAAAAGTTAGTTGACAAATTGCTTCACATAGTAGTTTAGAATTTAGATCATGAAAAAGGATGATGATGTGTTTCGTGACTTTGTTTTTCTGTTGGATGATAATGATACAGACATCAATGGATGGTTTCTGATATTTATTGCATTAAAATGAACTAAAGTGACTTTTGTTGGTATCATGGCCGGTCTTGACATTTAAGGGCCCTAGACAAAATAAGAAATAAAGGCCCTTAAAAAATAACTTAAAATTCAAGAATAAATTTCGGTAAACGTCAAACAAAATTTTTCATTAAAAATTATACGAGCAGATTCTATTACGTACACAAATTCTCATAAGAAACAGTTTCTTCTAGCATTTTGAGATGCAAAGTCATTGATAATAACATCAACATCAATGTTTCCTATCATCTCCTTCTCAATAGCTAATGTTGCTAAACCATTCAACTTTTATTGTGACATTGATGACCTCAAGTACGTTTTTATTAATTTAAGCTTTGAGAAACTTCTTTCGGCTGAAGCTACGGTCACAGGCACAGTTAATAAAATCCTATAAGCAATTGAAACATTTGGATAACAATCTGCAGATTTGACAAACTTAAGAATTTCAGTGGCGGATAACAATTCTATCGGCAAAGTCATTTGTAAGACTTTCAATTCAGAGAAAAGATCATCTAAGTCAACATCCGATGAATTGCCATGAGAAAAGGTAGAATGAAAATGAGCACAACATTCTTTCAACTCATTATCATCTAATAACTTTAACTTATTTGAATCATATAAAAATCCAAAAATACTTTCAAATGTCTTCAATTGCTCAAATCTATTCTTCAAAGACGTAATAGCCATATCTACCACAACCAAAAAATAATTGACTCTAAATGACTCTTCAGGCGATTCAACTTTGTTATCCTCATTATTCTCTCCAAAAAATTTCTTCTTAATCACACGACGCTTTGTGGGAAAGATAGGTTCCACATCCATTTCAAGTGCCAAGACTTTTAGCTACATTCATACTAGTTGTAAAGCCTTCATATCTATATTTTTCAAAGGAGGACATCACACCTTCTAATTGCCTTATGGTAGTATCAATGCACATAGACTTAGATTGTAATTTCTTGCTTACCATATTAACAACAAATAAAATGTCATACCAAATCACAACACCAAACAAAAACTCAAAACTTGAGAGTGCATTCACCAAACTTTCAGCTTCACTTTTTGACTTTGCGTCATTTTCACAAGATTCATATAATTCACACAAAGTCAATCTTATTTGGGGATATTGAAATCTAATAGCTTTGACACTTTTAATTCGACTCTCTCATCAAGTATTTGATAAATATTTCACAGTTAATCCAGGAACATTATCAAGTAAAATTTTCTATCTCTTTGTAGAACCCGAAAACAATGCATATATGCGTTGAACAACTCCAAAAAAAAGAAATAGCCTTAACACAAGAATGTGCCATATCACCAAGAGTGAGATTTAGACTATGACAAGCACAAGGCATGTATAATGCTTTTGGATTAATTTCAAGAAATCTTTTTTGAACACCTTGGTTTTGTCCTTTCATATTAGAACCGTTATCATAACCTTGTCCCCTCACATCATCAACATTAAGATCAAGAGACTTCAAAACATTTTGTAGTTCATTAAAGAGTCATAATCCAGATGTATCATCCACTTTTAGAAACTCCAAAAAGAACTCCTCAATTTTAACTTTGTTATTTAATATATTAACACATCGAACTATGAGGGTCATTTGTTCTTGATAGCTCACATCAAGCGTACAATCAAGAATTATGGAAAAGTATTTAGCCTCTTTAATGATATTAATGATAGAATTTCTCACACTTTGAGACAAAAGGTAAATGAACTCATTTTGAATTTTATGTCCAAGATAATGATAATGAATTTCACGATCCTGAATACGTCTAACATGATCTTGCATAATCACATCAAACTCTGCAATCATTTCAATCAATCCTAAAAAATTACCATTGTTATCTTCATATAGTTTTTCATTGGATCCTCGAAATGCAATATTATGTTTAGCAAGACATTTCACAACTGAGAATATTCTTTGTAACACTTGTCTCCAACGCTCTTTCTCTTTCCTAATCTCTTTTTGCAAATTTTTATCGATTGTTTGATTTTTATCCAATCTTACTCCCAATTCATTCCAAGTATTCAGACTAGTCATATGTTCAACACTATTTTCATGTTGTTTAAGCCTTTGGCTAATATGTTTCCAATCACTTAAGCCATCATTTGCTAACAAACTTACATTACTAATCGATTTGAACAACTTGCAACAAAAACAATATACTTTGTCAACATTTTTGGAATAAACTAACCATTTTCTATCACTAGTCTCACTATTGCTTAACTTTCTAGAATAACATTCATATGAGAAATGTCTATAATATTTATCAACAGAAAATTCAAGATCCATTTCTCTTATGGGCCCTTTTTCAACTAATATATCTCTCGCATTATTGTCAAGATTCTTCCAATTTATAGGATCATATAGATTCAAATAAGGCAGTGTTTCTTCACCAATGCCTAAATTTTTAACATTTTCATCAATTGACACATCATTAAAGTCAATTGGATCATTCACTTCATCATTCACATTTTCAGAATTTACAGGATTTTTAATATGCAAATTTTCAGTTGATTGATTCAAAGTTTCATGAGAATCATCCTTTTTAAACACAAATTTATCTAGAGAACCTTTTTGTGACTTCTTTAACTCCTTCTCTCGTTTCTTTTTTTTTTCTTTTTTCACTTCCAGACAAATTTTCTTTAGGCAACATCTCATCAAAATTAAAAGAGTCAAACGCAAACCAATTCTAAATTCTAATAAACAAGTATAAGAAAAGAACAATTGCACTTGGATTCTTCAATTAGAATTGTAACCCATTGGAGTAAGATAAAATCACCAATTCCCAATTTAATAATTGACACTGTTGACATAAATATTAATAGTTATAAGATGAACACCAAAATAAAAACATCAAAAAGTATATTTGTAACCGATCAGAAAAAAATACATATATTCGAACAAAATAAAAAGAAGAAGAATAATATGTAACCTTAAAGTCTGGCAATCTGATATTTTTTGAATATGAGCGTTTATGATGAGGTTCGACAATGACAGTATGCGACGAATGGTATAATCTTGGTGTGACTGAAGAATCGAGCAATGAGGGAAGTTTAAGGAAACAACTGTGGGTTTGGAACAAACAAAAAGATGAGAAAGATAGAAGTGTCGACTGGTTGGCGAAAAAAAACAAGGTATTGGTTTTTTAATTGGACACACGGTTTAGGAAAAGAGGAAATATAGGGGTTTAATTAAATAAAAGGTTAAAGTGGAATGAGAAATTGAGTTTTCAGAATAAATTTAGTTGGCTTTAAGATATAGGCGTGGGGCTTAGGTAAAATAAAAGA